GACCTGAATTGAGTCCTGGTGCCACCACCAGGCAGCCTTGGCCGCCCCTTAACTTCCTGAGCCTCAGGGATTTTTGTAGCAATTAGGAGCTGAGAACACCAAGTGCTTAGCTTGCTGCCTGGCATATTGGAGGCTCCCAACACAGGCTGGCATCTGAGCCCTGCTGACCTAAAGCTGTCATGCCCAGGCCTATACACTGAGAAGGCCTTCGTCACTGGTCTCCTTCATACCCACAGCCTGGACTCTTGGAGCCCACATCCACCCTGGTCCGAGTGAAGAAAAGTGCGGCCACCCTGGGCATCGCCATCGAGGGTGGCGCCAACACCCGCCAGCCGCTGCCCAGGATCGTCACCATTCAGGTACTTCCCCAGGGGCCTGCTGACTATCTCCCCTGACTCCTGGGAGTTTTCCCTCAGCATCCAGGGTTGTGCCACCCCCACAGGTGACCCAACACTGAAGGGCAGACCAGGCTCATACGACCTTTGCTCCCCCTGAGCCTGTTTCCTAATCAGGACTGTGGACACCCAGATAGTAGCTCCCAGGTTGGCAAAGTCAGGTCTGACCCTGTGGGTGGCCAAAGCCAGGCCAGCCTAGTCCTCAGGTGCCCTGTGTGCCTCCGACCTGTGTCTCACCCACAGCGCGGCGGCTCGGCCCACAACTGTGGGCAGCTGAAGGTGGGCCACGTGATCCTGGAGGTGAATGGGCTGACGCTGCGGGGCAAGGAGCACCGGGAAGCCGCGCGCATCATCGCCGAGGCCTTCAAGACCAAGGAGTGTGACTACATCGACTTTCTGGTCACCGAGTTCAATGTGATGCTCTAGGGGCCGAGGCCTGAGCGCCTCCCACCGCTGCCCAGCCCCTGGCCCGGTCCCTCTTCCCTCCTGGCACTGTTATGCTCCCTGAGGGGCCAGGGCCGCATGGCCAGGGTAGCAGGAAGACACCCCCACTCCTTCCGGGCCGCTGGACCAGAACTGGGAGAGGAGGCGAAGCAAACAGGTCAGGTCAGGTCAGGATCTGGTGCCACGCCCGGTACACAGTAGGCACTCACTACAAGTGTGGCTTTCAGGAAGGGGAAGGACACAGTGTCTTGGCATGTCCACCTGCGGTCTGCCAGGGCCTGCTCCTCTGGGTTGAGTCGGGGGCACTGTGCCCCTGGCCACCTAGGACCTGGCCCATCTCCAGATGCCTTGGCTTTGTCTAGAGCAGCGGTTCTCAACCTGTGGGTCGCGACCCCTGAAAAATACATCCTGCATATCAGATATTTACATTACGATTCATAACAGCAGCAAAATTACAGTTATGAAGTAGCAACGAAAATGATTTTATGGTTGGGGGTCACCACAACATGAGGAACTGTATTAAAGGGTCGCGGCATTAGGAAGGTTGAGAGTGAGGTCACATGAGAATTCATGGACATGGCCCCCAGCCAGGGGGCATCTTGCAGGACCTTTAGTGCCACAAATAAGCATCAAGCACCCCCTTCCCATATACCCCCCATTCCTCCGAGCTCCTTGTCCCCCATGGTATTTATTATTTATTTCCCTCTCCACACCCTGGGGACCCAAGACCCCAGCTCCCCACCGCACCCCCTGCCTATCCCCAGAGGCCTTGCAGGTGACCAGCGACGTCAGTGTATTTATATACAGAGCTTATGACTTTAATTTTTCAATAAAGAGATCTGAACAAGGTTAGGGTCCCGTGTGCTGCGTGGCCTGCCTGTGTGACCGGGGTCTTGATTGCTCAACGTGGAGATGGGGGGAGGGCAGTTGGAGGCATCAGAGCACCAGACATC